GAGCCACATTTTCACACCCCTAGCCCTGTTTTATTTTATTTTGACACAGTCTTGCTTAGTTTTCAAATTCATGCTGTCTTGATAAAATTTTGTCTTGTCCTCCTCTTGGTTCACCCCTCAAAAGTGATGAGTTTCTTATGTATCGTTAGAAACTCTGTCACAGTTTTGTAGTCATTTATATATCCTGAATTTTTTTTTAAGTAATCTTATATGAATGTTTTCTTTGTATTCTTGTTTGTGCCTGGTGCCTGAATAGGCCAGAAGAAGGCTCAGATCTCCTATAACTGTAGTTACACACAGTTGTGGGCTGCTGTGTGAGCGCTGGGAGTCACATCTGGGTCCTTCTGTAGAGGAGCTTGTGCTCTTAATGCTAAGCTATCTCTCCGATTCCAGGCTACATCCTTTTTTTCCTGAGACAGAGCTTCTCTATGTAGCCCTGGCTGTCCTGGAACTCTGTAAACTAGGCTGGCCTCGAACTCATAAAGTTCTGCCTTCCTCTGCCTCCTGAACATTGGAATTAAAGGGCATGCACCACCACCACTAGATTAGGCTGCATCATTTTTGATAAATTCCTAAAACACATGATAAATGTTCAAAGCCATTTCAAATAATACCAGAGAAATTACATATATGTACTATACTATAAATCAGAATAGTGGTTTTTATCTACTTCATATTTTATTGGAAATTGTCTTTAAACCTATAACAGTTTATATAATTTTTGAGTTTTTTAAGTTAATAAAACAATTCTTTTTTTTTTTTTTTTTTATTTTTTTGAGACAGGGTTTCTCTGTGTAGCTCTGGCTGTCCTGGTGCTCACTCTGTAGACCAGGCTGGCCTCGAACTCAGAAATCCACCTGCCTTGGCCTTCCAAGTGCTGGGATTCAAGGCGTGCGCCACCATTGCCCAGCGAACAATTATTTTTTAAAAAAAGTGTTTGATGTCTGTGTGTGTCTCTGTATGTGCAGAGCCTGTAGAGGTCAGAAAGCTGGTGCAGAGTGACAGGAGGTTGTGAGCCTCGTGTGGGTGCTGGGAATCAAGCTCGGGTTCTCTGGACGAGCAGCCAGTCCTCGTAACTACTCATTCATCTTTCCAGCTGTAGCAAATTCTTTAGCTCATAAAAGTGACGACTCATAAAAATGCTAGAAAATCTGCAAGTGTGAGTGTGTTAAATTATTGAATATTGGGCCAACAAGATGTTCCAGTGAAGAATGGCATTTGCCATAGAAGTCTGATGACCTGAATCCAGTCCCTAGAACCTATGTAGAGGTAGAAGAAGAAAACTGATGCCATTTAAAAGAGAAAGGAATAAACAAAAAAAACCTACACCTGTGACCATTAATAATAATGGAATTTTAATTTTTAAGTTATTGAATATCTGTGATAATGTTTACTGGAAAATCATTGACTTCCACATTATACCAAAGTTTTCAGGATCATTTAGTCATTTTGCCTTAAATAAAGGTCTTGTCTTACAAATATCTGTGAATTTGGAAGAAATAAAGACAAACTAAATCTAAAGAAAAAGTTCTTTATCTTCTCAGAGCTTTATCAGATTATATCGTCTTGAGTGATAATGGAATAAATATTGAATGAACATACATAATCTTATGATATCTTCAGTAGCCTTTGCGTTTTGTCTCTTCAAACTTAACAATTGTACCAGTTACCAGATAGCTAAAGCATCTCTGATACTGGCATCATTCTGTAATACTATTGATAGCATTTTCCTTTTATAGAAATTGATTTTTAGGGCTGGAGAGATGGCTCAGCGGTTAAGAGCACTGACTGCTCTTCCAGAGGTCCTGAGTTCAAATCCCAGCAACCACATGGTGGCTCACAACCATCCGTAATGAGATTCGATGCCCTCTTCTGGTGTGTCTGAAGACAGCTACAGTGTACTCATAAATAAAATAAATAAATAAATCTTTTAAAAAAAAATTGATTTTTAGGGGCTGGAGAGATGGCTCAGCGGTTAAGAGCACTGACTGCTCTTTCAGAGGTCCTGAGTTCAAATTCCAGCAACCACATGGTGGCTCACAACCATCTGTAATGAGATCTGATGCCCTCTCATGGAGTGTCCAGTGTACTTACATATAATAAATAAATAAAAACCTTAAAAAAAAAAAGAGCACTGACTGCTCTTCCAGAGGTCCTGAGTTCAATTCCCAGCAACCACATGGTGGCTCACAACCATCTGTAATGGAATCTGATGCCCTCTTCAGGTGTGTCTGAAGGCAGCTACAGTATACTCGTCATATATATAAAATAAATAAATAAAACCTTTTTTTTAAAAAAAGGAAACTGATTTTTAGTTTTATAGCATTTAGTAAGCTTATTAAATTACTTCAAGAGATGTAGGTTTTGCAGTTACACTTTCCTAAACTTTCAGCATTTATGTTTTTTATGGATATTGTGATTATCTTAGTTGTTTAATTTCAATCATTATTTTATGGTTTGCTTCTTGTTGTTTTGGTTTTGGGTTTTGTTGTTGTTATTGTTGTTTTTGGAGAGAAGGTCTTATTTACAGCTCTGGCTGACCTAGAAGTCTCAATCATGGAGACCAGTCTGGCCTCAAACTCAAGAGAGATCTGCCCAAGTGCTGGGATTAAAGGTGTGAGCCACTTAACTAGTTTTATGTTCTTAAAGGTTTACCATCTAAACATAAGTAGGTTGGACATTGAAATTAAGTATCTAATTTGAGGAAACAATGTAGTTCCTTACGAATAAGTATAAAATTAAAGATCAACTGGCTGTTGGTTCATTATGGTGTTTGATAAATGAAATTTGTCAAAAAGTCCTTTTTTCTAGTCACCTTAAAATTCTGTTAATAGTAATGTTTTGTGATTAGTATTGTATAATGTGAAACTAATTTAATAATGATTTAAAAAATCTTTAACTTGTGTTTTGTTTGAATTTCAGGTAATTACCCTTTCCAATACTTTGTATTTTGTTTAGTAAGCCACTCTTTGGAAGTGGTCACTGTCAGTATCTTGTTATGGTTTGATGGCCTTGGAGATTTAAAACCAAGTAAAAGTGTAAGCAGCCTTTCTTATTTAGTTATGAGTTTTAAATCCACTTTTGTTCCAAGTAGGAAAAATTGAAAGTAGAATTCATTTACTATGAATATGAGTTATATTAGAAAACATCTTGACAGTGAAAGCATAGTGCCAATTTCATCTGTGAAATTGTAACATAAGATTCCATCAGACAGTTCCCACTAAGGGTAATGAATTTTAAAAATTATTGTATTTTCTTTGTAAAACCTTAATAATGTAAATGTATCTGCTTTTAAAAAAATAGTAAATTCCTATGGGAAATAGAGGATAAAACACTTAGATATTTTCTTACATTTTTGCATTAGTTGTTATTTTTTTGTATCCATCATTAATAATTATTATAGTCTCATAACTATGTTGATACTTACTGTCCTAGTAGTATGTCATTCTTGTTAAAAGAAAAAGTATTCCCTGGAGTTTGAGATACAGCTCAGTGGCAGAGAACCTTTTTAGCGTTATTCGTGATGCCCTAGGTTCATCCTAGCACACACCAGAGAATGTTCATTGTCCCTTGAGATGTCACAGATAAAGTGTCTGATTTATTCAGATGTCTTTTCAGTTGAGCTGCAGTTTAGCCATTAGTGTTGTTTGCAGCATGATTGCTTATGTGACACTGTTTTAGTACTTACTTTGCTATAGGAGTCTAAAATTCTGTCTTAAATAACTGTCAGAACCACTTAATGACACATGAGAAAATGAGTTTAGCCACATGGCAGACACACCTGTTTTTAAGTAGAAGCCATGCCTTTTGTCCTTTGCCTGTTGTTTAGATTTCCACTTGTGAGACTTTGAACCTTTCCAAAGAGCAAATTCAGTTTCAGGCATGAAATTTGACTTTAAGACTATATAAAAAGTTAATGTCAAAGGAGAAAAAAAATCAACAACATTGAATCAATGTCAGACATCATTACTTTTAGCATTTCAAACGGACAGTTTGGAATATCAGGATATGGTAGTCTGGTATGGTTGGCTAATCATTTTCCTCATGTCTTTAGAGTCACATACTCTAGATCTTATTATAAATAAATACATGGAAAAGATCAAGTCCAAAGTCAACATTTTTTTCCAAATATTTTGTGTGCTGTGACTTGATTTATAGGATGTACAATGGATTATTGTTTTGCCGTGCATCTGAGTTCAGCAAGTGAATACTAGTTATACTTATCTATATTCTGTTATTAAAAATTGTCCCCCCCCCTTTTTTTTGGCAGAAATCACACATATAGGGAAAACTGGTTTTGCTCTTAAAACAATAGGGTGTGTATTTTGGTTGCATTTGTGCTTAGCTTATTAGCTTTTCTCTCTAGTGCGCACACTCAGATGATTGAGTGAGCTGTATGCCTTACTTGATCAAATAATTGTTCTTCCCTATAATTCCTTATAAGAATATGTAGTCAGTGTTCTGTCTGGATCAAACAAGTATTATGTCTTTAGTGGTAAAGTAATTGGCTACATTTTTTGTCCTAAAGTTATTTTAAAAAGGCTAAAGACATGATGTAATTGGCCAAGAGCATGTTTTAGGTGAAATGGTCTTGCTGTTTACTATTCTCAGGACTTTCACTTAACATTTTAAGCCCTCTATACCAAAGCAGACAATACTTCCAACTTTATAAATATTTAGAAATATTTTTAGAATCCAATGCACAGGAACATATCAGAAATTTAATAATAAATGTTTCTCTCTTATTTTGTATTTATATATTGTGGTAATTTGAGACTTAGTGAAATAGTTTTCTAAGCAGTCCCTGTAAATAAAACTTAAAGGATTAGTTTGCTATTCATGTCAATCAGTATTCTCTCCAGTGCCAAAAAGAGTATTTGAGAAAGGAAATAAATGCTTTGAACATTGTAATAGCCTATTGAATATAGTGTCTTGAGGGCATATTTTGGTACCTGTATTAACATGTCAATAAAAAGATCTTTATTCATCTTCAATCACAGGTACAGGAACCTTAAAGATAGATTTTGTTGGAGAGCTGAATGACAAAATGAAAGGTTTCTACAGAAGTAGATACACCACCCCTGCCGGCGAGGTGCGCTATGCTGCTGTCACACAGTTTGAGGTATGTGTGGCTGTTGTCACAAATGCTATCCTTTGTTTTCTATTTTATTTTATCTTATTTTATTTTTTTGTTTTGTTTTTCAACACAGGTCTCCTATGTATGTATGTATCCCTAGAACATGCTTTATAGACAAGGCTGGCCTCAAACTCAAAGATCTACTTACCTCTGCCTCCTGAGTGCTGGGGTTAAAGGAGTGTGCCACCACACCTGGCCCTGGAATTTGTATTTTATATTTAGAACTATTTCTGTCTATATAAAGAAGATAAGTAGGGCTGTGGAGGTATGGGTAATTGTTTAACAGACTCTTCTGCTCTTTGAGATTTTGTACCTACAGAGGAGCTGACACTCTGGCCTTTCTCTGAGGGCACTTGCTCTTACTTGCATGCATATACACATACACTTGGAAATAAATCGTAAAAATAGAAACCTTTCAAAAAGGACAAGAGGGAATGAGGGATATAGCCTGGAGAATAATAGTATATTCATTTGTGTGTACATACCCAGGTAATGATAGTATATTCATGTGCGTGTACATAC